TTGTAATATCATTGTTATAAGTACTAAAAATTCATAGAGATCCCAAACGCATGCTTTGACTGCCTATCTGATTTATCCCTTTACGAAAATGTCATGTTGCCTAAAGAATTACTGGCAGTTCAAGTGCACAAACACTTACTGTGGTCGTCTGCTTTCTTGGCCAACGACCTTGACTTAGCGGCTACCGGTGCAAAATGACCCTGTCTTCGTTGTAACAATTGGGCTTCATTGGCTGAAAATAAAGAAAAAAAAATCAGTTCATCAGATTTTCATCGACATTAACCCTTTAAGCACTATAGTTGTTTTCTTGCCAAGATTTGGGCACAAGATTTTGAACATGCACCAGTGACTTGGCACAACAAGTTGCATCACGGCAAATCTTTTTGCTTCAGTTGCACGTCATATGGACTTAGCGGACACACTGCACAAAGTCTCCGAGAACCAAACCAAACAAGGATTTACTTACATTTCTGTAATAACTCAGCACGTTGCTGCTGATTTGGGTTTTCTTTTCAGTGCAAAATGTTTAACAGGTGGAGGCTGTAATCCTACGAGTTGGGTCAGGGCATTTTTGTTTAAATACCGACATTCCAATGGTAGAAAAGAAGCAGTATCCGTCTCTGAAACTGAGAAAGAACACAAACAAAAACAGATTTGATAAATATATTTGAAGGGACAAGGATTCATCAGATAAGGGTATGCAACTGGTGTGATATGATTGAAGATCCAAATTTGAAGTCTTGCGATTTGTGAAAGGATCACATTGAGAGACACTTAAATGTATATTTCTAGAATACTTGACAAGTAAGTAATGTTTGTGAAAGAACTGGTTTGTGTTCACCATGGGTAGCTTTTCTTAGTGTCCTTGCATATTCACAGAGCATGTATCATGTGTTTTTGAATGCGACAATAAACATTGTATTATGTGATTCCATATGACAGAAATAAGAAACTCATGCAAACTAAGATATCCAATTCATAATGTCAAACTGAATTATTTTTTTCACAGTCAAAAGTAGCAATTTTTTTTGCAGTTGCCTAGGGGGTCCAACCGCCACTCTTTAACCTTTTCACCACTTGACATTCTTGCCATAATTTTTCTGCACTTTTTTCTTATATTCTTCATTATTTCTGGAAATGAACCCTAATTTTGGAACTAACAGACAAAATTTGAGTCAAATTTATGTTTTTCACTCAAGAAATTTGGCTTTTTTTGTACCAATCTTCTGAAGGAAAGTGCAGACTATAAACAGAACAATTTTGTAAATTTGTGGTGAAAAAACAGAACTGGTGGTGAAAAGGTTAATGATGATTATAACATATGGATTGTTCATGTGACCAGATGTGTAAAGATGGTCAAGTATTCAGACTACTGGTACATGCAGCAAGGTTGCTCTTTACTTACCAAGTCTTCGAAGTTCAACCAATGCTTCAGCCACAGTTGGATGGTTGTGTTCTATTTCCAGATTCAGTTTTCCAGTTGATGGGTACGTCCTCAGTATATCAGCAATTACACGTACCCACTCATCTTCATCGTGTATGGCTTGTTCTATTATGTCTTCTAATTCCGAACTTAACTGTGAAATGAACAACATTTTTGAGACCGTGTGAAGCTCTGTAAAATGTATTATTGTTATTTGGAATTTATTTTTGCTACTGTAAATGCATTAATTATTCACTGGGTTTTAATTTCGCTATTTTCGCTGATAATTAAAATCTGCTAAATTAAATCTACATGTATATGTAAAATAACAGTAAAAGTTATTGTTTCCTTGTGAATATGCTCAAAAAATCGAAATAGTGAAATTAAATGTCAGGGAAAATAAATGGTTTAACAGTATTTTCGCTGAAAATAAAATCCAGTGAATATACCATTGTTTCTATATTTTACATTCAACTCATCAAAAAACAGTGAAAATAAACTTCATTAATTCCAGTGAAAATGCAGCTTGTTTAATGACAGATTTTTGAAGAATCAAATTCTGCATAGCCTGAAATGCCTACTCAGAAAGGTGCTTTTTTTTTTTGTCTGCTACCAATAAAATTACTATAAAACAAAAAATAATTTGATAAAATAAAAGTATTTTTGTTTATTATTATGGCTCATAGATTATGTGATAAGACCAGATGAGTCTAAAAATGCACAAGAGACAACAAACAATTGTTATAACATCACATATTAAAGTTATCTCTGAGGCTAATGTAAATTTATTGAATGCAATTCTCAGAATAACCAATGTCATTTGTGTATTCCTGTACATACGTTTGATGTCAGTTTTTATGGACATGTCTAGACTGATTTAGTTCAACACTGAAACAAAGACAAGTCACAATAGAAGAAATATGCATGTCAACTTATTATTCATTCTGTCCACTTTTTACTGAGCAAAAATCAACATTTTGAATGCGTCATCAATCATTACTCGGGCATGCCTGAGCCAATGATTTCATGTACAGGCAAATATTTTCTGTATCAACGAAATATTTCATAGATAATGACCAATAATACATGTACATCTGTCATAATATCATCACAGGTTACAGCATGCCGAGACTTGCTTACAGGTCTTACTGTTCTTTTTTTAAATAAAAACAGATGAAAATGGCTAACATAAGAAATAATGCAGTGTTGGTGAGTGATCATGAGAAAAAAATTAACTTGTGAAAGAATTTGCGTTTCTTGCAAAGTTTGAGTTGCTATTAATATTCATGAGCTCCACTTTGCATATCATGTGATCATGTGAGTGGAACATCAGGTGTGCACTCTGGTGTGTGGCTCAAATGAACGCAACATGAACACCACCTTCAATGATACTGTCACCCAATGACATTGCGAAATGTTGAACAATAAAAGTTCAAACAGAAAATATAATAAAGATATTACATATTTTCTTTCTGTCAATTGTCATCCGCATATTATGCAAATAAGGTAGTTTCCGTTTAATCTGGTTATTCCAGAAACAGATTGTAGTTGTGCGAATTATGCCAATGGTTGGAAACCTAGTCTGTGCCACTGGGAACACATGCAAGAATACAAGTTGTTTTTCAGCAAACACTCTAATATTTCCCATTTTTGCTATTTTCAAGGATTTATATATCGAGGAAGTTCTAATAATTTTCACCATCTTGCTCAGTTTCTGCATTTCAAACACCAAGTAGTTTAGATAAAGAACACGTTATTAAGAGGATATAATAATAATAATAATAAAAATAATATAATAATAATAATAACTTTATTGCATTCTTAGAAATACAAATGTTCTATTGGTTTACAGCAATAAATATATAAGTGATTAAAATATGATAACGTAAAATAGAAAAAACAAGCAGCCAGTCGGCTGAGATAGCTCCGCTGTTAGCAATGCACATTTCAACAAGCCATGCATGGCACAGTCCCAGTTAGTTATCAAATTTAAGATATATAGTTTTGTTTATAGTAATATAGCTGGAATATAACCATGTCAGAAATATGATTTTTTAACATTAAAATGATTGACATTTGTATCTGATCGTCAAACAAGTACTTGTCCATATTGAGAGATATTGCTCTGGAACAGCATTCAAAATCAGCCATTTTGAATACATGTATATATATATATAACATGATGTATAATGAATATATAAAATTTAAATATAATAAGTCAAAGCATTCAAGAGATATGGCTACGGAAGCTCAATCATTAAAACAAAATGGCCACCAGTCAGCCATTTTGAATTCAATCTGAATCAAAGAATGCTTAGAAAGAACTCCTGTGTGCTGAGAGTATTGGAGAAACTTTAAAAATTAATTCAAAATTACTTGAACTTGAGATATTGATGGAAACGCAGAAAACTAATTATGCAAATAAGGTAACTAATATGAACAGATTTAAGTGTAGAACTAATAAGGTCCGCACAATGTACCAAGTTTCATTGAAATGTGACTAGAACCAACAAATTATTAATTATTATGCTTATTAGGGAATTAATATGATCAGATTTTAACCCAAAATTAATCAGGCTGTCTATTGTCCTAGAGCATTTATGTACCAAGTTTTATTCAAATGTGATGATCAATACTTGAGATATCAGTATTAATTATGTTAATTAGGTGATTAAGAAGCATAAATATTTACCAAAAACTCATATGGTGTATAGTCCTAGGTTCATTGAAATGTGATGGGTATTCTTTAAAAGTTTCATTAAAATCCAATGAGTGGTTTTTTAGACATGAGTGCAACAGCCATAAAACAGCAAAAAATTAACTAATTAATATGCAAATTAGGTAATCAATATGCACAATTATTTATCCCAAAATTAATCAGGTCTTTGCATACTCCTAGAAGATCTATGTCGCAAGTCTCATTGAAATGTGATGATTAGTACTTGAGATATCAGGTGAAAAGCTGAAAGTTAACTAATTATGCTAATAAGGTGAATATGCACAAATATTTACCCAAAAACTAATTAGGTAACTACGTAACTATGTACCAAGTTTCATTGAAACTTGACCATTACTACTCGAAATATCAAAAG